GATATTTCAGAAAAATCACGGGCCAGCCTGCTGTTAATAATACTACCGAAAACATAATTGCGTTTTTAGAATAATTATTTACTATACCTATGATAAATTACAATATAGTCTCAAATATATACTAGAGAAATATTGCAATTCGAATCAATGAAAATAATACTTGTATATACACAAGAAATTCCGCGTGACAAATATAGCGCGTGACAACCGAAATCAGAATATTATATTTTATAACAAGTCAAACAAGTTAACGTACGTAAGTTTGGCAACGCTTTTGTTTCGTCAATTCAAGCTCAGGAATACGTTAGTACCGTAGACTTCTCTGTTTACGGTTAGTACTCTTATCAGTTTGTTGTCAGGAAGGACGGCAACGTCGCTTTACCTACGACTTTTGGTACACGATAATAAGTAATAAAATTGTTTACAAAAAAACATAGGTGTCTAAGGTCATCAGTTTTATGTTATTTTATACTGTTATTCGGTTGGAAAGGAAATTAACCAATTATGAACTTAGATATTGATTTATCAGAATTATTTAAGATCACTTGGATGCCATCTAGCGTGCCAATGTTTAAACGTCGCCTTTCGTTTGTTTGTCAAAAGTCACGCACACTACTAAAGAAATGTCAAATTTTTCCGGGATTTCACTATTGTTTTTCTCAGTATATATTGTAAGTTATTGCCTATAAAGATCAGACGCGTACACATTTCATTGTAGAGAAGTGATAAAATGATTAGTTTTAAAGAAAGAGTGTCTGTGTTTAGTGTATATTTTGGTTAAAAAATGTATGGGCGGACGGTCGACGCATCCACCTTAAGGTGACCATATTACGCTCACGTACCTTATTTCAATTAACACGCCAAATTTTTTTAATTACACCAGTAACAATTTTGAACTTACGTGGCTACAATATAATAACTAATATACTAATACTCAAACGCTGCTCAATTTTAACATGCCGTTAAGTGTCGTGTTGTCTCCATCACTTTACGTCAAAGTGACTGTTACACCACGTGACTTAACATCTGACAAATTGAGTAGAGCGTTTGAGTATTTGGACATATATCTATTATACACCAATTAAATGTAAAAATTCCATTCTCACACATGTTAGTACTGTAGTTACACCCACACACACAAACACACACACACACGCGCACATATCGTGTGAGGCCCCGTTCCGTATCTAACTCCATCGACTTACTCCTAGTCGCGTTAAGGTGGCCTAGATGCTAGGAATAGGTCTAGATCGGGTCTAGACTGTGCCTCAACTGAGACAAGTGCTGCTGCAAAAGGCCAGCGCTGACGGCCGCGTAGTTAAACCTCTGTGAGAATTAATTTTTCTGATGTTACCATCACCATCGCCACTATGTTAAGAGTGCACATGGCAATATTGCGCAGTTGAATGTTCGATATTCAATTTATATAATATGCAAAATATAAGAAACCAAAGCCAAAGTAATTTTTAAATATACGATAAAATATTCAGACATATAATATCGGTGAGAATTTTCGCTAATAGATAGAAAATATAAACAATATTGCCATATTTGTCACAAAAAAACCATTAGAAGCCATCACCATGTTAAAAAATCTTTCAAACAAAATATCAATCCAATATAATACAACAAATACACAATGTAATGTTTTAAAAGACGACAACGTTGGCACTCTCTGTCTACTGAAAACTATCGGGTTAGGCTTACATCATCGTCGGACGGTGATCTGTAGACGGCCCCTCCATCATGGCGGGTCCTTGAATTTATTTAACATAAATTTATTAATAACAAGTACCATAATTCACTCTGTTGAATATCATCAAGAGAGAGAAGAGCAGACATAGAAGAGTATGAGCTACGGGCGTGTAATGAATATAAAGATACATAACGTAACAGGCTTAGCCTTTAATAATTCTATTCATGAAATTGAAGTTTAAACAAAGGAGACGTTTGTGTTATCAACTTTGAGGACTAATTTGGGATGTCTCCTGTTTATGAGGCCATGTTACTTCACAGAGGATCATGGTACAACGCTTTATAGGTTTTTTACAGTGACTGATATTCTTTAAATACTAAGTGAAATAAATAGTAATCATCTATAGCTAATCGATTACCGATTATTTATATAACCTACCCGATTATCGAGTAACTCATTGACTTTTACAACCGTCGATTTGTTAGAGTGTCTGCAGGGTTAGCGTATAATGGCTGTGTAAGAATATTTACTACCCCACGTGATCCCAAGAGGCGGCAGAGCGACACAAATTGCGAGATGGGCAGCAGCGTCTTCCTAACATCGACTAAAAATAAAACAGCGGTTGCTGACCCGCTGCCAAGCATGGCAACTGTGGCAACTGTGGCAACTGGGGAAAATATTCCCCGTATGAGGAAATCCTTTCCCATAGGAGAGGCCTACGATCACCAGCGGACTTTGATAGGCTGAACGGTGACTGTCTTTGCTTGGAGTCATTTCACGTAAAAACAGTAGTTTGTTAGTTGATTATGAGTATAAATGAGTAGTAAATGCAAACGCGTATTAATTATCAAAATATTAAAATTCTTATAAACGTCTGTTTCCGCTAAATTCTTGCGTTAGGAAAACTTTCAACCTTAACTTGAATTTTTTTTCCTCATACTAGATTAAAATGACGTTGAAATTCTTGTTGATGCAACCTATACTGACAGCTATATTTGAAATATTATAAAACTATTTATTTTACGTTCAGAAAATAATTAATTGGAACTTAATTATAATCATTTTTTATAAGCCAATTCATGGCTGGTACAATATAAACTCTACACCAAAACTCCACAAAAATATTTTGTAGAGGTTCGTTATTAGTTTTTTTTAAATATAATCTACGTTATATGTATGTGGCGTAAATTAAGTATGTGGTAACATGCATTTATCTTGAAAAATTACGTTGTCTCCGAATATTAATAAATGTGCGATAAAGCAAGATTGTAATAAATTCAAATTATTTAACTGTTATCCAACTTCGCATTTGGATGATTTACCTCACTTATATAGGTACTTATGTGCTAAAAATCAAGTAAAGCTATGTCCCAGTGCCGGCCACAGGCTTTCATCTATGCTTCTTGTTTTTTTATATATTTCTTTAGATTCTCAGACGTGCAAGTTTTCTTATGATGTTTTCTTTCACAGCCGAACAGGTGGTAAATATTCAATGTGTTTGTTTACTTTACTTTTTCTAAAAAATAGTTATACCTATAGTAATAACATATGTCTTCACTTTACCTATTCTCATAATATTCGAGTTTTAGAGAAATCAGGCCTTGGAAAGGGCTAAATCATTATTGTGTGTTTGATTATAACAGGATATTAATTTATATAGTCATACACTAACGCTCTTAAAAAATCAGTACGGGAGAAGTCGTATTTTTTACAGAAAAAGTTATATTCAAATGTTATCGAAAACGTGACAAAATTCGAAAAATAATTATTAAGATGATGATATTCAACAGTTTGAAGTATAAAAGGTAAACAAATTAACAAATGAACATGTATGACACAAAGGGAATATAGGACACTAAATTAATGACGAATGAGTTAACGTAAGCCTAACCTAATAAAGTTATGTATGTACAATGCGTATACCTTGAAGTAAGCAAGCAATTAGTTATAGGAAAATATTCGGAGTCTTGTCTTCAGCTTTACTATTACAATACGCAAGCAACCAGTGTTCGATTCCCATGTCTAAAAAAATAAATGAATGTTGAAGTCCTGAGACATACAATGGGACAGCGATGCGAACTCTTCTCCGCTCCAAAAACCCATTCAGAGTTAAGTGGCCTGCTTTTTTACTGTTAGTTTATACTAGCTGATCCCTGCGATTTCGTTTACATGCAATTTATTTAGATTGGATTTCAGGGGTGATAATTTTTTTTTGCACGGAACCCAAATTCTTTGTCTAAAATAAAAGTAGCCTATGTTACATTACTCCTTATGATATCAGCTATTTGTCAGTGAAATTCCTGCCATCCATGTTCAGCATCGGACTTGTGAAGGGCTGTAATAATGATGATGATGATGAAATAAAAGGGCAACATCTGCATGTGCTGCGTTTTAAATGAACACCGTCGAGACAATTAGCGTCCCCAGGGAAGACAACACACTCAGGTATATAATATTTTCTTCCTAGTTAGGCAACAACCAACAAATTCTGCCAGTGTCATGTCTTATACAATAATAATTAATTAATAAATAAAACAAATAATTTCATAAAATTACCTATACATATGATAATATATCAAGTGGAAAAATACTAAAGATATATTAATAAGAATTTAACTACAATATAACCTAAATCGGTCAAGTGCAGTATAACCTAAATCAAGTTATTTATTTGCAACCTTCCACACATTATGATAATTATAAAATTACAAAGCCTGAGCACTGGCCCGAATAAGCATAAGCATAGTACTTACTTCAAGGTATAACAAAAAATATAACAAAATGATACATTAAGAATTAGAAAAACTAAAAACACGGCAACGAATCGGCAATATTTTCATTGTCAAACAGTCGAAGAAAATGTTATTGTCTATGGTACAATGATAAAACGACATGAAAATATTCTCGATTAGGTTTATTTAAATCGCCTGGTAACAACATATTAAAACTAATGCACTCGTACTACAAAAAAATAATCAGCATGACTCCATTCACCATCGAAGCAATGAAAAGGACATTTTAAAGCAAAAAGTTAAAATTTAAATGTGACCTGGCATGATGTCGTATTTACATAAAATAGCATCAAATATTAAAGTTAAAAACTTAATTATGTTCCCGTTGCGAATAAGTAAATTTGTTTTATTGCTTCTATTTATAAATCTTAAATCATTTAATTAGGATATTACAACAAAACATAAATGAAAAATAATTTTAAACTAACGATATTAGAATCTCCAGTTAAATTAGTATATTAACTTAAAACGACTTTGTAACTTATAGTAAACTTTACAATAGCATAACACACCTGTTGCTTCTTCTGCGTGATCTTAGCTTTGTTGGGGTCGACAATGTCGGCTTGTTGTGCGGCTTGCTCAAGTCTACGTCGTTGCTCGTTTTCGGCGTCAGCTTGCTATAATTTTAATATTTTTTAAGTATAACCTCTGGGAATGAGGTGGTCGATTCCAAACTGGTTTTAAATAACTTTGTAAAGTACAGCAGGACCTCTATAATCCGAGCCCCTTCTAATCCGAACACCTCTGTAATCCGAACACCCCATCCCCGACCGCTTCTTTGCGGTTATGCGCTTAGTGCGGTGTCTGCGTTAAATATATGCCTTGAATAGGCTAATCAAGTGGACACTCCTATGCCAGAAAAAATGCTTTTACGTAAATTGCGAGACAAAGCTTTTTGTTTATCACTAAATACATCCCGACAAACTAAAATGTTGGATCTCGTTAAAAAAATTCAATAAATTTTACGTTTTCCCGAGAAATATTGGCTCGGCCGGTGTAAAGAGCATCACCAGTGCTGTCATTTGCATAGTAATGAATGTTACGGGTTTGCATCATTGATATGCAGAAGAAACAGCGTTGGCGATAGCACGCAGCCTTGTGGAACACCAGCATTAATAGGCTTGCAATCGGAGCTTGTACCGTCTATAACGACCGTGATGCTCCGATCTGCAAGAAAGCTGGTGATCCAATCGCACAATTTCTCGGGAAGCCCATAGGAAAGGAGCTTCGAAAGAAGCGCTTTGTGCCAAACCCGATCGAAGGCCTTGAATGTCCAAACTAACGGCCAATGCCTCCCCCTTGGACTCTACTGCCTCCGCCCATCTATGAGTTAGGTAGACCAGAAGATCACCAGCTGACCGGCCACGGCGAAAACCGTATTGGCGGTCACTTATCAGCTGGTGATCCTCAAGGTACCTCATGAGCTGGCAGTTTACCAATAGACTCCATTGTTTTAGAGAACAAGGAGGTGATGGCGATAGGCCGGTAGTTGGACGGGTCCGAGCGATCGCCTTTTTTAGGGATCGGGTGGACGAAAGCCGTCTTCCATGATTTTGGGACTACGCCTAGGGAGTACCGGAAAAGACGCGTTAAAACCGGTGCCAACTCTGGAGCACACGTCCTCAGCACAATTGGGGGGATTCCGTCAGGTCCACTCGACTTGTGGATGTCCAGGGAGAGGAGTGCTTTGCGAACCGAGCGCTGTGTGAACTGCACTTCCGGCATGGAGCACTCACACCGCGGGATGGTCGACGGCGTACTCCCCCCGTCATCGAGAGTCGAGTTGGACGCAAAGAAAGTGCCTAGAAGATCGGCTTTCTCCTTTGCGGTATGGGCCAGTGAGTCGTCCTCCCTGTGTAGAGATGGAAGAGATGGCTGACAGAAATTCCCCTGGACAGCCTTGGCGAGAGACCAGAATGCACGGGTTCCAGAAGGAAGGAGAACTAGTTTCTCGCCAATTCTGCCTATGTGCTCTGACTTTGCCTTGGCAATGACTCTTTTGAAGTACCTAGAGGTGGAATTATACTTCTTTTTTATAGCGCTGGTTTTTATATCCCGGGACGCTGATGCGTCAGCCCAGCCTCGGTAGCACTCCTGCTTATAGCATGATGCTATTTTACAGGAGCGACCAAACCATGGCTGAGATCTGCCTCCAATGGGCACCACAGAGGAAGGAATAAAAGGTTCCATACCCTGAAGTACCACATCAGCGACAGAATCCGCAACAACGTTGGGATCGTCCGGCGAGAAGCAAACTCGCCCCCAAGGGTAGGATGCAAAGAAAGACCGGATCCCATCCCAATCGACTGACCTATAGTGCCAAACACGGCGGCAGCCTGCAGAATGCAACTGCGATTTCAGCGTGAGTGGCACCACACTCCGGACAAGACAATGGTCCGAGGAGCCTAAAGGGGCTTCGACGGAAATCTGATATCCGTCCGGGTGAGAGGTCAGCAGAAGGTCTAACAGGGAAGGTGCATGATCCTCCACATCTGGGATCCGCGTAGGCGAAGTAACCAGTTGTGTCAGACCATAAGCCAAGGCAAAATCATGAACAGATCTCCCCGCATGATCGGTTAAATGTGAACGCAGCCATTCGGCGTGATGGGCGTTAAAGTGCGTAGAGGATCACGATCTCTGCGGAGGGGATCTGCTGTAGCAACGAATCTGTAGCCATTTGGACGTGGTCGAAGAGTCGGTCTGTTTCGGCATTACCGCTATGGGACCTATAGAGGCACCCGTAGACGCGCGGATGGTCGTCGCTGTCTACGCGTAGCCAAAGGACGGACAGGTCCGAACCTTCAAGTCTGCCGAGGCGTCGAGAACAGATGTCCGCTCTGACGTAAACGCAAACTCCAGCCCGAGGCACAAAGGAGTGTTCCAGTTTGTACCCCGGGTAGGAGAGATACGAGACATCGCCGGAGAGGACACCTGCGTCTGATTAGGAAGAGCAGAGCCGGCCTCGCCGTCTCGAGATGGTAGTGGATGGCGTTTAGGTTAGAGTGAAGTCCCCTGATATTGCAGAAATTCACGGACAGCGTGGCAGGGGTCGCCTTGGTCTTGTTGCTCCGTTTGCCCCGATCAGTTGTATTCTTGAGCGGAATTTTAGAATACCCCCAGAATACGCGGGGCAGCCTAAGCACCCACGCTCAGAAGTGGAGAAAGTTCTATTAACATTACTAATATTTCCTTAAAACTTGGGTTCGCGGTCCGCACGCTGCCATTAGGCTACGGTCGCTTCAGAAAACAAAACTGAAAAATAAAGTCTTCTATTCTATATCCAATAAAAATTATTCTTTCCTATTTTGTTTTACTCTTTGGGTCCAAAATCATTTCTAGTAATCATAATTAGGTGGTAATATTATAACTATGATTGTATTTTCTACCATATTAATTTTGTATAATTTCGATATTCAAGAAATATGTACCTTAAACGCCCTCGTGAATCGGACGAGTAGCGAGAAGAAAGCGTTCGCGTCGCAGCTACGAGGCGCCTCGCCGAAGTACTCCACGCACGACGCGAACGAATCCTGCGCACAGAACGAATCAGGCTTTAAACGTAGCTTGCCGCAGTTTTAAACCCTCCTCCCTTAAAATGGGACGAAATATGTGCACGGTCAATTATGTGAATACAATTCGTGCCTTATTTTTCAACATTAGGGTAAAAAATGGGTTAATAGTCCACCAGATAGTCGCTACTGTAGTCCAAGAAAATATCCGTAAGTCACTGGTTCATATCCGGCTCAAAGAACCAAAAAATGTGTGGTGTTTTTCTCACACTTGATCTAGAATTTGCGCGTATACAGAAAAAGGTAAAGAAACAGCAGCTTGTCGTTCACGTTGGTGGTGAAGTCGTGCAGAACGTACGCGTATGTGCTGTCGGTGTGTTCGTGTGTGCGTGCGTGATGTCAGTGTGTGTACCTGCGCGTTTGTTCGTGCGAGCTGTCGGTGTGCTCGTGTGTGCGTGCGTAATGTCAGTGTGTGTACCAGCGCGTGTGTTCGTGCGTGCTGTCGGTGTGTTCGTGTGCGCGTGCGTGATGTCTGTGTGTGTACCTGCGCGTTTGTGCGTGCGAGCTGTCGGTGTGCTCGTGTGTGCGTGCGTAATATCAGTGTGTGTACCTGCGCGTGTGTTCGTATGTGCTGTCGGTGTGTTCGTGTGCGCGTATGATGTCAGTGTGTGTACCTGTGCGTTTGTGCATGCGAGCTGTCGGTGTGCTCGTGTGTGCGTGCGTAATGTCAGTGGGTGTACCAGCACGTGTGTTCGTGCGTGCTGTCAGTGTATTCGTGTGTGCGTGCGTGATGTCAGTGTGTGTACCTGCGCGTTTGTGCGTGCGAGCTGTCGGTGTGCTCGTGTGTGCGTGCGTAATGTCAGTGGGTGTACCTGCGCGTGTGTTCGTGCGTGCTGTCAGTGTGTTCGTGTGTGCGTGCGTGATGTCAGTGTGTGTACCTGCGCGTTTGTGCGTGCGAGCTGTCGGTGTGCTCGTGTGTGCGTGCGTAATGTCAGGGTGTACCTGCGGTTTTGTGTGTTGTTTGCGTGCGTGATGTCAGTGTGTGTACCTGCGCGTTTGTGCGTGCGAGCTTTCGGTGTGCTCGTATGTGCGTGCGTGATGTCAGGGTGTGTACCTGCGCGTGTGTTCGTGCGTGCTATCGGTGTGTTCGTGTGTACGTGCGTGCTGTCGGTGTGTGTATGCGTGCGTGATGTCAGTGTGTGTACCTGCGCGTGCTTGGTCTCGGCGCGCAGGCGGCGCAACTTGTCACTCGCGTTGGCGGTAAAGTCCCGCAACACGTGCGCGTGCGCGCCGCGCGCTTCGGCCTCGCGCCTCGCCGCCTCCATGCCACGCTCCAGCTCACACACATCCGCGATCACGTTCTCCAGCGACACTAAACACGTATCACATTCATGGATTTATGCAGTCCGGTAATTAATGGATATCCTTGAAATGGCTTACAGCAAAACTGATGACCGTTTAAAAAATTTTTATTTTTTGTTATTACTATCCATAATAATTTCTTTACAAAATATATTTATTTTATAGTTTTCACGAATTTTAAATTCTTGTACACCATTACGACAGTTTGTCGACGTTTTGTTGATAACATTCTTTACATTGACTGTGCCCATAGATAGGTAACTAATATTATGACGCAGATTTTTTATTTTGTTTTAAGTGCAAGTTTTTGTATATTAGACTTTCTGCACATGTAGCCACAGCCGCAACGTCGCCTCACCGGTGTCGTACTGTTAGTTTATGTAAACAAAAACAATTGCTTTAACGCAGCTGCGATGCGGCTGCTGTACTGTCGAAGCACGGCTCGAACGCAAAATTTGTTTGTTTGCAACTAACATGTGCAGAACCAGCGCGGTACGGTCTCCATGTACGGAAAGCCTTAAGCGTTGGTGTAATGGTAAATTTGTTGCGTACTTTTAAGTTGACAACCGTTGCATTAGTTTTGAATCCCCCATGATCTATCGTATAAAAAAAATATATTTCAGAGAACTTCAAAATGCACACACGTTGACATTTCCTGTATGCGATGTAAATCTCTACACGTAAATGTTTATATAAGAATTACGTGTCACATTGTTTCTCCGCGATGAACTCCGAAACCACTCAATCGATTTTAATGAAATTTTGTAAATGTGCATTGCTTGTTTTATCCCTATAAGTGTAATGCCCTGAATATTTTTATTGCGAATTTAATGATTCATCAAGGGACATCTTAAGCGTGGTAGAGCCACGCTACAGCTGTATTATGGTTCTGGTATGAATGGGTCGGATCAATCGGGGAAAATAGCAGTTTGACGCTGCTGTTTCGTATGGTGAGTGTAGAGAACCCAAGACTCCTTTTTACTGGGAACGGGGCATTTCATCTTGGTCTCTTGATTCTTAATCGAGTATAAATGTGGATGTCTATGGCCTGCAGCAACCACTTGCCATCAGGTGGAATGTGTGCTCGTTTGTTACCCTTATTCTATAAGTAAGGACAAATTTCGCCGTAAAGAGGGGACCAACGTCTGCTTGGCCAGCTAGTAGTAAATAAAAGTGAAATAAAAGATTTACCTTGGGCAGCCTTATCAATGTATAAGAGCTCTGTGTCGAAGTTCAATAGCTCAGGGAAGTTTTGTCGAATAGTCGCGACGATATAGTGCAGCAACGACACTCTCTTATCCGTCGACTTCGTATCCATCAGCGTGTCCAGAGACTGCAGTTTGAACCCGTAAGCGGGGCCTCGCTTGCTGCTGTTTAAATAATTTCCAAATGCCAGGATTATTTCTAGAACGTTCCGTAACTTCTGGGAAGATTTGACGGACGAGGAACCAGAAATAATGGCATGAATTTGCGGCGTTATTAGATGTATATTGTCGAAGAAATTTCCCATGTAGCTCATGATAGAAAGTTTAGCTGATATCCTCTCAACTTTAGCTAGCTGCATTAAGAATTTATCTTCTTCTGTCAACTGGTTCACATTCTTTTTCTCTGCAACGTATTCCTTGTAAGCCTTTTGCTCGGCTTCGGATGGTACCATTCTTTGGAGGATCTCTACACTCTCTAAAGGTAGCTGTTTGAGATCTAGATTGTTTATTGCCGCAATCACTTTTTCAACGGGCGTGTCCAGCTTTCTTCTTGATATCGCTGTAAAATTATTTTTATTGTTATTTTGATAACTGGTGGTTAATTTACGAATATTTAAAAGCAAACATTGTTATTTCAAGTTTCATTATTTTTAAATTTCGACTATTATCATTTTTCGTACAAAACTTAAATATTGTTATCATATATAAATTTCAGTTCAGAAGAATTGCAAAAAATCTTATGATTGAAGAAAATCTAGAACTTACATCAATTATTTAAATTAACTAGTTTTCTGGTTTTTATTTATAAAAATATGTTGAATTCAAAACTAAGTCAGTTTTTGAAATTAAAATATGCAAATAAATTATAAACTGTATTCGAAATACTATATACTATAACTCTGCTTCAAATTACGTTTTTCTTACGACATGGTTTTACTGTCTTTTACACCTAAAAAGATACCATGAATTAAATTTTGATAAATATCGATAATAAAAAAATTCTAAAGGACAAAAGCCATAACAAATATTTTGTCCTTTGGTTTGCAAAACGATCCGTCAATTTTTCAGAATAAAAAAATTAAAGAAACACTATCCGTATACCAAGGATTATTTTCCTTTCAATTTAATTTATTTCAATGAAGATAAAAAGTTTGTCCTATCTTGTAAACAGAGAGGTACCATCAATACAATTTAATTAATTTCGATAGCTACGGCGATATAAAACATTAGCCAGTACAACTCAAGTTTAAATATAAGATAAGATCGCATTAAACAAGGTTTAGACGAAGCAGTGAAACTGGCAGCTAGCACTGGCTTGTTATTGGCCTCGTATAAACAGTTTTCCAAGAAAAGCCAGGAGCGCCTGCCTATTTTTTAAACCAGTGACCTCTGCCCGCGTGCCCCACAACCCCCGCGTTAGAATAAATAACTTGTAATATAAAAATTTTACTAGTGGTATTGTACAAATTCCTATATTTGATGTATATAGGTATATGATAAACATTACTTTTCAGTTAGTTTAAAAATCATTAATTTAATACAACAATTTATAGTTCAATTAACTAAAGCTGGCACGTACAACACATTTACATAGTGCGCATGTGTAGTGTCTGTGAATAAGCCCTTGGCGTGACGTCGCACTGCATGCGCATCATGAAAAGTATGCCCGTCTCTCTCTCGCGCGATCTAGCTTATGAGTGTGAAGGGGACATTGATTGTTTTGCTTTTGATACTGTTTATAAATACAGCGTGGTCTTTTTGGTATTGAACCGTTAGCGTCAGTCACGTGTGATCGACGCGCGGCGCGTATTATTCACATATTTGGAGTTTAGAGTAAAATGTTTAAAGAATTGGTTCCGGCAAAACTTTAACAGGACAATCTCGTGAAATAGTGTATAATGTTTTTAACTATCTCATGCGTCATCATAATAAAAAAAGTGATGGTGGAGATCGTTTAAAGAAAGATTTGTATGGTTAGACATCAGAGGCGACTGGTGTTTCCCAGAGAAGTGTAAACAAGTTGTTTGTGAAGTACGTAATCAAGTTATAGCGGCTGTTAAAGCGTCAACATCACAACAATCTACCTCAGCAGAAGGAGAGCCAGCAGCATCTAAAGCATTGCTGCCTCAAGTTACTTTTGGAACACCGGGTAAAAAGCAAATATATTCCGGAAAAATATATTCAACTGGAACTAAAAGTGGATAATTTCACCGATTCATTTATTAACACTAGGATATTACGACGGCGAAACATCAAGTTCTTCGAGCCATGAAAGTTTGAGTGGGATAGAAGATTTAATTTATGATTTTGACTAAAAGCAATATTGTTAAAAATTATTTATTTATCCACAACGCACCTAATCTTACTAAAACCTAACTCTAATCTACACTTAGACTAGTGTCGCATTTTGAACCAAAATCATTTATTTTTAAACATACTGTATAGAGAATTTGCATAAGTGTGAGTACTGTGAACATGCCAGCTTTAGTTAACTGACCTATACAAGAATAATCTAGGAATTAAATGAATCCATTTGACCTCATCTAAATATCACTGGCCAAGCCAGCGCTGGCATGTCTGTGGACTGGTGCCAGCGTTTCTGGCTTCGTCTAAACCTTGCTTTATAGAATGTCAGCCACTATAAGTAACTTGCTTTTTGGATTGTAAAATGTTACGACAGTTTTTGATTTTTACAAGGTTAACAGTTAATAAACCCTAAACACTACCATCAAAACAACTGATATACAACCCGGGAGTAAAATCTGTTTCCGATCACATACACACTCATCACTGTCAGGCCCGCGGAAACATTTGATATGGATCGAGAAGAGGTTTTTGCGGTATAGGTTGTATACTGGCTTTATTTACAATAAGGTTTATTTTGGCTGTAGGAGAGTATTGTACAAAAAGCAGCGATGTACCGACCGATGTTTCGAAGACGCGTGTGTTCAAGCAGCGAGACGGTGTCGGGCCTTCGGAACCGCTTGCTAGGGAACGAGGCAAGGTCTGCTTCACAAGATGCCGCGTGGGGGGCGGCTCCCCCCAACCGGAACTTCTGTTCAAATTCCGCGAAGTTGATCCTTCGTCGCGGACGCTCCTCATCTAATTCGTTGAAAATCGTGCCGCGCACCTGAAACAATGTTACACTTATTGCTGTTTTAACCAATTTCAGAAGTTTAGAGGGGAATTTGGCAAGAGTATTGATTTATCATTGAAATATTAATTAAATAAGGTTAAAGTAGTACGGCCGTGTAGTAGCGGCTGAGAATATCCACTACCTCATATCTTCCCGTGGGTGTCATAAGAGGCGACAGAGCGTGACAGGCAGGAGATGCAGCAGCATCTTCCTGATAACAACAATAATATTATAAAAAACTGCGGTAGCCAACCCGCTCGCCAAGCGTGGCAACTAAGGCTAATGTCCCCGCATGAGCAACGACGCAAACAAACGGCCCTCAGCCCTGGCGGCCCCGCTCTTCCTGGCTACGGTGGCGACCATGGTAACGGCGGGGCAGGGGGTGCGCTAAGAATCTCCGGTGGAGGTTCGGTTGCCACATACGACGACTCGACCTGGTAACATATAACGCACGCACCCTGAGGACTGACCAGAAGATACTGGAGCTGGAAGAAGAGGTAGACAAGTTGCGCTGGTATATTATTGGATTATTCAAGGTCCGAAGAGAGGGGGAGGACACGATAAACCTCGAGTCCGGCAACTTGTTCTATCACCGGGAGGGCGACCATCTGTCCCAAGGAGGTGTCGGATTTATCATCCACAAGTCTCTCGTAAACAACGTTGTAAAGATTGGGAGTGTGTCGACGAGAGTCACGTACCTGATACTCAGAATCACCAAACGGTATTCGCTGAAGGTCATACAGGTTTACGCGACAACCTTGGCACATCCCGATGACGAGGTGTAGGAAATGTATGAGGATATTTCTAGAGCCATGCATTCCTCCAAAACCCACTATACGGTATTGATGGGAGACTTCAACACAAAACTAGGCACAAGAGAAAGCGGTGAGCTGAAGTTAGGGAAATTTGAAGTAGGGCAACGGAACCGTAGGGGCCAGCAGCTGGCCGACTTTATGGAGAAAGAGGGACTCTATATGATGAACTCTTTCTTCCAGAAGCGGCCCCATAGCAAGTGGACCTGATCGAGCCCCGACGGTTCAATAAAAATGAGATTGACTTCATTATGACAGACGCCAACTGTTCAGTAATGGCTTGCGATCACGCGAGGGTGAAGAACCATGGAGGCACTACTACCGAGGCGTGGAGCAGAAGTGCGGTGGTCTTGTTCTTTAAGAAAGGCGACAACGCCCTCTTGAAGAACTACAGACCGGCACCACTTTAGAGCCGCGTCTACGTGCAGCTTTCGAGTCATTACGAATCGTCTCGCACGCAGACTCGACGACTTTCAGCCTCCCGAACAAGCCGGTTTCCGAAAAGGCTTTAGTACCGTAGATACACACTTTTAGGCAAATTTTACAGAAGTCCGAGGAGTATAATCTGCCACTTTGCCTGGCATATGTGGACTATGAGAAAGCCTTTGATTCCGTCGAAATTTGGGCGGTGCTACAGTCCCTTCAGCGGTGCCAAGTTGACTGTCGGTATATCGAAGTGCTGAAGTGTTTGTACAGTAGAGCTACGATGGCTATCCGAGTACAGAACCAGAGTACGAAACCTATCCAACTGCAGAGAGGTGTAAGACAGGGTGACGTTATTTCCCCGAAACTCTTCACCGCTGCATTGGAAGACGTTTTCAAGCTACTGGACTGGAAAGGATACGGTATTAACATCAATGGCGAGTACATCACTCACCTTTGATTTGCCGACGATATAGTCCTTATGGCAGAATCGCTGGAGGACTTAAGCACTATGCTCAATGACCTCAATATTGCCTCCCAATGGATAAGTCTAAAGATGAACACAGATAAAACAAAGATCATGTTTAATGTCCATATCACACCTATGCCGGTAGTTGTTGGGAGCACTAAGCTCGAAGTTGTTGACGATTACGTTTACCTGGGACAAATAGTCCGACTAGGTAAGTCCAACTTCGACCGAGAGGTCAATCGACGGATTCAACTCGAATCGATTGATAAGCTGGGCAGCGTTCGGGAAATTTCGAAACATCTTCTCGTCAGGTATACCTCAAAACCTGAAAACCAAGTTGTACAACCAGTGCGTGTTGCCAGTGATGACATATGGAACTGAGACTTGGTCCTTCACTGCTGGCCGTATTAGGACGCTCAAAGTCGCTCAGCGAGCTATGGAGAGGGCTATGCTCGGGGTTTCTCTGCGTGATAAACTTAGAAACGAGGATATCCGCAGTAGAACCAGAGTGGCCGACATAGCCCAACGGATTAGTAAAGTTGAAGTGGCAATGGGCCGGCCATATAGCTCGAAGAACCGACAACCGTTGGGGAAAAAAGGGTCCCGAGTGGCAGCCTCGTACCGGTAGGTGTAGTGTAGGGCGACCCCCCCACTAGATGGAGTGACGACCTGGTAAGATATGCAGGAAGTCAATGGATGCAGGTGGCTGAGGACCGTGCTTTGTGGCATAACTTGGGGGAGGCCCATGTTCAGCTGTGGACTTGTGAAGGGCTGTAATGATGATGATGAAAAGTAGTAGGATTTTTGTTGTGTTAAATGTCCACACATTTAAATAATTAGTAGGATCTGGATATTGTGTTTATGCACTTTAAATTAATTTTCTAAATTTGATGTCTTAGTATACCTACTATCGTTATCGGTAAGCTCTGATAGGTCAGCAAAACCAATTATTATAATAGAGAGGGTTTTCAAAATATCAAATTCAACAAAAAGTGTGTACGGCATAACCGCACAAATAACGGGCTCTTTGACCATAGCGTAATTTTAACAATAGTTTTTGGTGTAGCGCATTACGTACGTATATTATCACAGCATTATATCGTAACCATTGAGGTAATAAATAATACTGCATTCTAGAACTGGTACTACGAAAAAAATTTGTGCGCCAGTGCGAGAGGCGTGTGGTCGGAGGCACATAGTGTACATAGCACATAGAGCACATAGCCCGTGGGCTTTAACACGTGATACAAATAACCAAACCTGGTCGGCCCTTTAAGTACGCAGTACATATTAATTTAACAATCGTAACGAAAATCACTCTGAAGAATACAAACACACCTGATTTGGCTTCAGTGCAATCCAGTTGAGCGTCGGCAACTTGTATTTGGTCTCGACCTTTCTCTTGATGGTCATCGCGTCGGTGTGGTGCGGCGGCTGCATTAGGCCGGGCGCGGGCGGCGCGGGAGGGGCGGGGGGAGCGGGGGGGCAGCGGCACGCACGGCGGCGCGGGGGGGCGCGGGCGGAGGCGGCGGCGGCAGCGGCGCGGCGGGGGGGGGCGCGGGCGCGGGGGCGCAGCCACCGCCGCCGGGGAGGGGGCGCGCGGGCTCGCCACGCCGTTGGCCAGCGGGGGGAGGAGGTGAAGGCGAATGCCCGTTGTGAGTGCCGTTGCACAGCGCGTGCGATGATATGGCGCCCACTGGAAATAATTACTATAGTAAAAACATTTTCTCTCTCTTACTCAATATGATTCCGTGGGTGTCGTAAGATGCAACAAAGGGAAATAAAACAGGAGATCAACGGCAACATCTTTCTGATGAACACTCAAAATAATAAATAAACTAATATTGTCAACCTACTGTACCAAATATATGAAATATCCACTCTAGTGAAGTAATCCATTGGGGAGACCTATTTTCAGCTGGACTTCGATAAGCTTTTATGGCGAAGATGATGATGATAATGAATCGAATCATCACTTCTGGCCGACACATTAGCGCAAAGTATATCTATAGCACATTAACTAAACGCCAACTCCAAAACGTATCTAATAGAACACCAAGACACTGATTTAAGCGGAGCCACGAGCATGTTTGCAGACACGCCCGCCGGACTTCGCTACTGTAGCTCTGTGCAGTTTGATAGTGCAGGAGCGTCGCAGTCGGTCTGGCAGACTGGCCTGTTGAACGTCCGCGCACTCTCATTCTGTCCGCGCGGGCACAGATACGCCCGCTGGACTTCGCTACTGTAGCTCTGTGCAAAGTTTGATAGTGCAGGAGCGTCGCAGTCGGTCTGGCAGACTGGCCTGTTGAACGTCCGCGCGCTCTCATTCTGTCAGCGCGGGCACAGACACGCCCGCCGGACTTCGCTACTGTAGCTCTGTGCAAAGTTTGATAGTGCAGGAGCGTCGCAGTCGGTCTGGCAGACTGGCCTGTTGAACGTCCGCGCGCTCTCATTCTGTCCGCGCGGGCACAGACACGCCCGCCGGAATTCGCTACTGTAGCTCTGTGCAAAGTTTGATAGTGCAGGAGCGTCGCAGTCGGTCTGGCAGACTGGCCTGTTGAACGTCCGCGCGCTCTCATTCTGTCCGCGCGGGCACAGACACGCCCGCCGGACTTCGCTACTGTAGCTCTGTGCAAAGTTTGATAGTGCAGGAGCGTCGCAGTCGGTCTGGCAGACTGGCCTGTTGAACGTCCGCGCGCTCTCATTCTGTCCGCGCGGGCACAGATACGCCCGCTGGACTTCGCTACTGTAGCTCTGTGCAAAGTTTGATAGTGCAGGAGCGTCGCAGTCGGTCTGGCAGACTGGCCTGTTGAACGTCCGCGCGCTCTCATTCTGTGTGCGCGGGCACAGACACGCCCGCCGGACTTCGCTACTGTAGCTCTGTGCAAAGTTTGATAGTGCAGGAGCGTCGCAGTCGGTCTGGCAGACTGGCCTGTTGAACGTCCGCGCGCTCTCATTCTGTGTGCGCGGGCACAGACACGCCCGCCGGACTTCGCTACTGTAGCTCTGTGCAAAGTTTGATAGTGCAGGAGCGTCGCAGTCGGTCTGGCAGACTGGCCTGTTGAACGTCCGCGCGCTCTCATTCTGTGCGCGCGGGCACAGACACGCCCGCCGGACTTCGCTACTGTAGCTCTGTGCAAAGTTTGATAGTGCAGGAGCGTCGCAGTCGGTCTGGCAGACTGGCCTGTTGAACGTCCGCGCGCTCTCATTCTGTGCGCGCGGGCACAGACACGCCCGCCGGACTTCGCTACTGTAGCTCTGTGCAAAGTTTGATAGTGCAGGAGCGTCGCAGTCGGTCTGGCAGACTGGCCTGTTGAACGTCCGCGCGCTCTCATTCTGTGTGCGCGGGCACAGACACGCCCGCCGGACTTCGCTACTGTAGCTCTGTGCAAAGTTTGATAGTGCAGGAGCGTCGCAGTCGGTCTGGCAGACTGGCCTGTTGAACGTCCGCGCACTCTCATTCTGTCCGCGCGGGCACAGATACGCCCGCTGGACTTCGCTACTGTAGCTCTGTGCAAAGTTTGATAGTGCAGGAGCGTCGCAGTCGGTCTGGCAGACTGGCCTGTTGAACGTCCGCGCGCTCTCATTCTGTGCGCGCGGGCACAGACACGCCCGCCGGACTTCGCTACTGTAGCTCTGTGCAAAGTTTGATAGTGCAGGAGCGTCGCAGTCGGTCTGGCAGACTGGCCTGTTGAACGTCCGCGCGCTCTCATTCTGTGCGCGCGGGCACAGACACGCCCGCCGGACTTCGCTACTGTAGCTCTGTGCAAAGTTTGATAGTGCAGGAGCGTCGCAGTCGGTCTGGCAGACTGGCCTGTTGAACGTCCGCGCGCTCTCATTCTGTGTGCGCGGGCACAGACACGCCCGCCGGACTTCGCTACTGTAGCTCTGTGCAAAGTTTGATAGTGCAGGAGCGTCGCAGTCGGTCTGGCAGACTGGCCTGTTGAACGTCCGCGCGCTCTCATTCTGTCCGCGCGGGCACAGACACGCCCGCCGGACTTCGCTACTGTAGCTCTGTGCAAAGTTTGATAGTGCAGGAGCGTCGCAGTCGGTCTGGCAGACTGGCCTGTTGAACGTCCGCGCGCTCTCATTCTGTGTGCGCGGGCACAGACACGCCCGCCGGACTTCGCTACTGTAGCTCTGTGCAAAGTTTGATAGTGCAGGAGCGTCGCAGTCGGTCTGGCAGACTGGCCTGTTGAACGTCCGCGCGCTCTCATTCTGTGTGCGCGGGCACAGACACGCCCGCCGGACTTCGCTACTGTAGCTCTGTGCAAAGTTTGATAGTGCAGGAGCGTCGCAGTCGGTCTGGCAGACTGGCCTGTTGAACGTCCGCGCGCTCTCATTCTGTCCGCGCGGGCACAGACACGCCCGCCGGACTTCGCTACTGTAGCTCTGTGCAAAGTTTGATAGTGCAGGAGCGTCGCAGTCGGTCTGGCAGACTGGCCTGTTGAACGTCCGCGCGCTCTCATTCTGTCCGTGCGCGGGCACAGACACGCCCGCCGGACTTCGCTACTGTAGCTCTGTGCAAAGTTTGATAGTGCAGGAGCGTCGCAGTCGGTCTGGCAGACTGGCCTGTTGAACGTCCGCGCGCTCTCATTCTGTCCGCGCGGGAGCAGACACGCCCGACGTGAATGTTAACTGCGGGCTGTCTGTTCACAGACACAAGAGCGACAGCAACCAGTGCAGTCTTTTATTATTACTTAACGAACTTTAGAATTTTTCGATTTGCAATGAGTTTTAATGATAATAAAATATTCAGGGAAGAGTTTATAAGACTCTATATCCATGCGCAAGTAATTGCACAGGCCTCGTAACCCATCAATTTCTAATTCTTTATGTAAATTGATATGGCTAAATTTATTTCTATTTTTATACCAATATTTGCACCAAATTAATAAGTAAAAAATAAGCATGCAAGTTTAGGTAACGTGCACGCACAACTAATCACGTAGCCGTTCTAAAACAAACTGACGAATCGGTGTAGTGTACTATGGCGACAGACATACCCGAACAAACAGCCCGTGGGCTTATCCGTCTAGTGAATTCCCCGCTTAAGCGATTTGCAACATACCAAATCAGGATTATAAACAAGCCTTTTGGCATCTCTTTCTACTGAATCCTAATCTATTCATTAACCAGATAATAATTATTACCGCAGTGTATGGACTACGAATATCTAACAGATAGCCACAGATGCACCAAACACACCATGTACATAACTGTTTGGTGGCAAGAATAAGTTAAAGGATGGTTCCAGCTGAAACGAACTCCTAGACGAAAGAGAAATTCCATAATCAAAATAAAATATTTGCATGACTAGTAGAGTTAGTTTTTTTATTTAATTTCTGCAAAACATTACTTACTAGAAGCGCCTCTCGGCAAGGATTTAGTGAGGGTCTCCAACTCTTGAACCTTGGACTCCAACATGGACTGCCTGTTGCGGGAGTCCTGCTGTGCTCGCCTCAACGTTGAAACCTAAAAATCCCTTTTCATATTATAAGTTGCACAAAAAACTTAACTTTGCTTTTTGTTCGGACGACTAATTTAATTTAAATTCCTTAAAGAACCTCAAGGTTTTACCCAAAATAGTAACTACGATTAAAATCAGCAAGTTTAATATGAGGTGTAAGAAGATTACGTATATTATTTACGTGGTAGAGCCATGCTGCAGTTATATTAGATGTATAGTTGTAGCACGAATGGTTCGGCTCGACCGGGGAAGGACCACGCTCTCACAGAATACCAACTAGCGTGAAATAGTAGCTTAATGCTGCTGTGTTTCATAAGGTGAGTGTAGAGAACCGGAGACCCATTTACTGGAAACGAGGCATTGCATCTTAGTCCTCACGGGTGACAACGCATCTGCATTTTGATTCGTAATCGAGGATAGATGTAGATGTCTATGGGCCACAGCAACCACTTACCATCAGGTGGACTGTGCGCTCGTTTGTCATCCTATCCTATAAAAAAAAAAAGATTACCTCTTCGACGACTTGTCGTCTAGCTTCAGCTAATTGGTCCCTTTCCTGCCGGACTTGTGCCAGTTCCGCTTCCATTGTTGCTATTTTGGCTATAGCGTCCCTTTCCAAAGCTGCTAGTCGCTCGTGAGCCTACGAATAAATATACTAATTTCAATTTAATCTTTACTTAATTTCAGTTTAGACTGTAGTCCGTAGGGATAAAGAATAGGATTTAATGATTTCTTATATTTACGCGAACATTGCACATGATTAAAAGCGTCGTAAAAGTAGTTTTAATCAAGAATAGGATTATAAATAGCGGCGGCTCAACGAGCCCGTACCGTCAACATACACAGTGCCAATAGCGAAAACCGCTAATAACGGTATATCGTTATGACGTTATACTATTCGGTTATATTGAAATTTACGATTTTCTAGTATTTGGAAAATATGTGAAAATAATTGTTTACTTAAGTAGGTGTATTAATTTTAAAATAACATTTATAACTAGCCAACCGCTCCGGCTTTTCCTGGGTGGGCGTTATATATATGGCGTTACTGAGACTTAAGATAATCATTAAAAACGATTTATTTTAGCATATCAATATTTCTATTTTAATAAAATCTCTAGACTTTTCGGATCAAATTTAGTGTGAAATATTAGTTAATATTTTATACAAAAGTATTAACAAACAAAATAAAATAATAATTATGAAGAAAAATCTCAGAACACGTCTCGCTCTTTTTAGTTCTCAATTTTAATTTGTGGGAATTTGTTATAATTGATTCCAATGACAATATGGACTGAACTTACAGAACGTACGAAAAACGCATATCGCAATGTATTTTTTTAGTAGTGTGATTATACGAGGGATGATCCAAAAGTAATGATAATCGGTTACTTCAGGTCCACATAAAAATCCAAAAAAAAAAAAATTTTTTTTGCTTGCTTATATACTCACTACGTCAGCCTAAAAAAATCGTATAAATAGATCACGATTTCCGGGAGATACATTCATTTGAATACGAACTGTCAAAGAGATAACATCAAGGGGGGGCTTTTTTTAACGTGTTGTGGAAAATTTGGCTGGGGGTTTTAATGGAGAAAAACGAAATTAGAGCTGTCATCAAGTACCTCTGTTTGAAAAAAATGTCTTCAAAAGACATACACAGTGACTTAGTGGAAACATTGGAGGACTCTGTTCCTCCATATTCTACAGTTGCACGCTGGGCCAAGGAGTTTAAACTAAAAAAAAAAAAAAAAAAAAAGGGCAGAACATCCACTGAAGATGAACATCGCGAAGGACGCCCATCCACGTCCCTCACTGAAGACAACGTGAAAAAAGTCGAAGATGTTGTGTTGGCAGATCGAAGAGTGACCATCAGGCATGTAGCTGAGGTCACAGGGATCTCATATGGTAGCGTTCAAAGAATCCTTGCGAACGAGTTGCATATGAAAAAGGTCTCTGCGCGTTGGGTAACCAGAATGTTAACCGACGAGCAAAAGAAAAATAGAGTTGACATTTCGAGGGTCAATCTCGAAAAGTTCCAAGCAGATCAAGAAATTTTTTTGTTCCGTTTTGTGACTATGGACGAGACCTGGATCGACCATTTTGATCCTGAAACGAAACAACAATCGATGACTTGGAAGCGAGCCTCATCACCGACGCCAAAGAAATTTAAAGTTTCAAGTTCGGCGGGAAAGGTTATGGCATCTGTTTTTTGGGACGCTCAAGGCATAATTATGGTGGAATATTTGGAAAAGGGAGCCACTATTACGGGCTCTTACTACGCAGACCAAATAAGAAGATTACGGGAGGCCATTAAGGAAAAAAGACGCGGCAAACTGCGAGCTGGAGTGCTGTTTCACCAAGACAACGCACCGGCTCACAAAGCCGCAGTTGCGATGGCTGCCATTCAAGAAACGGGATTCGAACTGCTCGAACACCCTCCCTATTCGCCAGATCTAGCTCCTAATGACGTCTACCTTTTTTTTCGGCTCAAGGAACGCCTCCGAGGCATGAAATTCGAAGACGATAGCGAAGTAATGGCCGCTGTTGTAGCGTTTTGGGAGGGTCAAGACAAAGAATTTTTTTCAAAGGGAATCCTGGGTTTAGATAAAAGATGGACTAAATGTATTGATTTGTTAAGAGACTATGTAGAAAAATAAATTATATTTTAACTTTAATTACCGTGTTTCATTTTCATTATCATTACTTTTGTATCACCCCTCGTAGATAGCAACAGTGTGCGAGCAGATGTGTATAGAGACGACTCCATTTTCAATCCCATTCTTTAACCGCACGGGTAGTACATACATATTGAAGTATTAACGTAAGTATTAATGAAGAAGTCTTGTATTAAGTCTTACTATACTTATTGGAGCACAAAAACTATTGTATCTTAAAGGTTACTTGCGGCATGAAGTCTAAATGTAGGATTGTTGAAAGTATAGAGTAAGTTTAATTTTTGGAGTTTGGATTAAGTCCAGCTACGGCCTTGTGGGTAGATAAGTAGTAAGTCTATTTGGGAGATCGTTGGGAGCATGAATTAATTCTAAATTAAAATTGTCGGAGGCATGAAGTCGAACTTTAAGATTGTTGGGAGCGTGGAATATGTCTCCTACCTTTGAAAGATGTTGGAGACTGTAGAACTGTCGGTGTGAGAAATTAATTTTAATTAAATAAGTCTAGCTATTTGAGTCTTGATCATGGAATTTTATTATTTTATTTTATGCTAGATGTAGGATTATCGGGGGAAGAAATTAATTTTAATGAAATAAATCTAACTCTTGAAGCTTTTCTCGTTGCATAGGTTTGATGTAGGCATGAAGTGAATGTAACCATAGAATGATTAAAAGTTATGAAGTAAAAACGAAATAAAATAATACTTACGTGACCCAACTCTTCTTCCAGTTCGTTGACTTTCTCCAGGGCAGCAGTTTTGGTCTCACTGTCTTCCATCAGCGCCGCCACGTCGAAAACGTTGTCCAAGTACGCAGAAATTTGTACCTGAAAATGAAAGTTGTACATAAATTTAAGTAAAATTGATAAATTGTATTTGCTAAGCGAGTCGTCCTCGTTTACCTCAAAATTTAAGAGTTTAGAAAATCGCATAGATAATATATAAATCGCATAAGTAAATCACAGCAAATGTTCGTCATTTTGAATCAGTTGTGTTGTTAGGTATATTTATTTAAAAATAACCACGTATTATATTAAATGGAATATTATATATTGTATTTAAATAGACTTTCAATAAGAATTACTTGTGATCTGACTAAAAATTATTCTTTTCTATTCTATTTTATATAAGTCAAAACAATGAACAACTGCTTCCCAAAATATTTTGAACAGTGATAGATTAGCATATATACTGTATATATACTATATAATAATATAAATTATTTAATCTAAAAACTTGAGTCTCCATTTATAATACTAGTACAAGAATAAGTTTATATTAAAACGAATAAGTGAAAGACTTAAAGATTCAAAAGTCAATACCACTTTATGTTCTAATTACGTTAAATAGGATGTCTCTAATCTATTAAATTAATGTTTTTCTTTTAACTATTCAATTTCATCATGACATTGGTAGTTGGTTACAACCTACATACGTCCCAATAGGCAGGTTTCCGGAGATCCTTTTTACTGGAAACTAAGCATTCCATTTTAGTCCTTAGGGGTGGCAACGCAATTGCATTTTGGTACTTAATCGAGGGTAACTGTAGATGTCTATGCGCCACAGCATCCTCTTACCATCAGCTGGACTGTGTGTTTGTTTGTCACCCTTATTCTATAAAAAAAGTTTCAGGGCAATCATAAAATTGAAGTACTTTAATGTGTAATGAATTTAGAAGTGAAATAATTTATAATACTCATTAATGATTTCCAGAACAAAATATCAGCCTTGATCAATGAGGCGTTAAAGATACAAAATTGTATACTTCTGTAACAATTTATGTACATATAACAAAGTTAAATTGTTTTTTGTTTTCAAACATTACGGTTAAAATTAAGAAAAGAAAAAGAAATAAACCTGCAGGTCCTCGCTCTCAGAAAACCGCAACCTCTCCAAGTAGTCATCCAGCTTGAGCGCCGTGAACTCGTACTGAAGGTGGACCCGGAAGTTCATGTCTTCAACGGAATGTACAATGATATTGACGAATTGCATGCACGCTACCTGGAAACAGGTGAAACATATACCCTTGACCGATGTGATGCATCATAGCACAATACGGTATTCAGTGTAAAAACATACATAGACTTGGCCTAATTATTTGTGCCAATGCATATATTGGCCAACATGGAGGAGGTAAACTAGGATGTAGCTTCAAAGATATGGAGCTAAATAACACAACGAAATCGTACCCGAAATATAAAAATTAATACTTTTACGTGGTAGCATGGCTCATGCTGCAGCTATGTCATAGTTGTTGCACGAATGGGTCGACTCAATCCGGGATTGATCGTACTCTCACAGGATACCAACGTGAAATAGCAGCATAATATTGTTGTATTTCGTATAGTGAGTATAGAGAACCAGATTCCTTTTTACTGAACATGAGGCATTCCACCTGAGTCTTCGGGGGTGACAACGCATTTGCATTGTGATTCTTAATCCTGTAAAGATGTAGGTACCTGACGACTGTAACAACTACTTCCCACTCAGCTTCAAATCCTAGTATTAAACTTACTGGTATAGATTTTTTTATTAATTTATAGTCACTGTCATAAACAATCTCTTATAAAAACACCATAACGAAAGTCAACTCACCATGAACTCAATATGGAATGTGTCGTAATTCATAAAGTACTCCATGAGCGTGTGAAACCTCCTCGGCTCGCCGACGACCTCCTTGAAGTTGTCGAAGGCACTGAGTATGATCTGGTGGCCGCCCTTCACCAGACAGATGGCGGCGAGCAGCTCCAGCACCAGCGCTTTAGTGCGCAGAGACTGATGCACGAGGGACAGCGCAATGCTGTTGATAGCTTCGCGATGTTGGATCACCATGTTAAAGCCGTACTGTAAATAATGAAAAATATTTTTTTAATGCGTATGACAGCATAGTCTATTTTCTGGATGTTATCGCTGTTAGTCTATGCGACTCTTACAGCTTCAGCAGGCCGCGAGTTAATTATGACAGCATAACAAAATTCAATCACCCAATTTCGCTGCGTAAAAAATAGCGGTAAAACATTTGAGTAATGTATCACACATGATATACTTCATTATAGTAGAAAATGGAAGCAAATTTCTCTCAAAACTTTAGTAATAGTATTTTCTTGTCTACAAATGGGCGTGCCTCAGGGCTCAATTCTCGGCCCTTTTCTATTTCTTGTATATATTAATAACTTACCTTACATAGTAGGGGATAACCATGATATAGTATTATTTGCTGATGATATTTCATTAATTTTCAAATTAAAACGACAGTTATTAAATTACGACGAAGTAAATAATGCTATAGCTAAGTTAGTCAATTGGTTTAATGTTAATAATTTGCATTTGAATGGAACTAAAACTAAATGTATGAAATTCGTAACTCCTAATGTTAAACATGTCAGTACTAAGGTAATTTTAAATGGGGGGGGGGGGGGGGGGCAACTGAGTCTTGTTGATACCACCATTTTTCTTGGAATCACACTGAACGCAAAGCTTCAATGGCTCCCCCCATATATCAAAACTAGCTAGCAGACTTAGTTCTGCAGCATATGCCCTAAAAAAGATTAGAACTCTTACCAGTGTTGAAACAGCTGGAATAGTTTACTTTAATTATTTCCATAGCATTATGTCGTATGGTATTTCGCTATGGGGACACGCGACTGACACTGAAATTATATTTATTTTACAGAAGAGGGCCATTAGAGCAATATATAATTTTAAACCAAAAGAGTCACTGAGACAAAAATTTATGGAAATTAATATATTAACTCTGGCCTCTCAATACATTTATGAAAATGTAATGTACGTACACGAAAATAAAAGTAGTTTTGCGAAAATAAGTGATATTCATTCTGTAAATACTAGGAACAGACACAAGTACCAGTTACTCGACTCCACCGAGTCAGTAATTCATTCTTGGGACGCTTTTACAACAAAATCCCAGAAAATATACAAAATTTGTCATACACAAAGTTCAAATATGTTATTAAACTAAGTTTGTATAAAAAGGGTTATTATAATATTAAGGAATTTATATATGATAATAACCCCTGGGAAGGGTGATCGCTACCAAGCTATTTCTAATTTGTCTTATATTGTTTATTGTAAACATTATTGTAAGCTATTATTGGAAAAAAAATAGTCCCGCTGGGTTTCTTGCTGGTTCTTCCCAGAACAGAAGTTTTTTTTTGCGAACCAGTAGTAAATGAAAAAAGTGACTTTCAATAAGTATTGTTATAATCTACATTGAATAAAAAAGTTTCTGTTTCTGTTTCTGTTTCTTGTAGAGCACTTAAGTGACTGTTTTCACGAAAACTGCTACAGATGGGGAACAAGTATGTGAACTATTCTCATCTCAATTTGCATCTGTATATACTGACGGGGTTGACAATGCTTCGAATAATTCGTTCTCTCTAATTATTTAAATTATTTAGAAAACTATAGTCTACATCTTTCGCCTATTGTTATCGATAACGAATCACTTTTAAAAAAATTAAAAAGTATTGACTGTAATAAAGGTCCTGGCCCTGATGGGATCCCACCCGTTTTTATAGCGGCATGTGCTAAATATTTAGTATCACCCCTGTCATTAATTTACAATAAATCACTCTCAACAGGCATGTTCCCGGCTAAATGGAAAATTGCAAAGGTTATTCCTATTCATAAATCGGGAAATGAAGATTCAGTAAAAAACTACAGGCCCATTTCAATACTGTCATCATTTGCTAAAATTTTTGAAGCTTTGATATGTCCATTTCTACAAGATCATTTTAAGCAATTACTTAGTGATAAGCAACACGGGTTTGTTCAATGTAGATCAACAAACTCTAATCTGGTAAGCTTCACTGAAACTCTTTATGAAGCACTTGATGCCAATAAACAAGTTGACGTCATATACACGGATTTTAGTAAGGCTTTTGATCGCATTTCACATAGTGTACTCCTAAAAAAACTGTCCGCATATGGAATCTGTAATGGTTTAATGCAATGGATCTGGTCTTATCCAACCGACCGTACTTTTTATGTGGTCATCAATGGCTTTAAGTCGAGTTTGCGTAAAATCACATCTGGCGTACAACAGGGATCTCACCTGGGCTACTGGGACCTGCCTTTGTGCCTAAAATTTTCTGAATCTTACATGTATGCTGATGACTTAAAATTTTGCAGAATAATTGAAACGACAGATGATGCACGTAAACTCCAGTGCGATCTTGACAATATCTTTCACTGGTGTAATTTGAATAAGATGGAACTCAATGCAAAAAAATGTTTCTACGTAAAATTTGCTCGGAAAATGAATCTAGTTCACTATAGTTATCATATAGGCAATAATAATTTACAGGAACTACAAGAGACCAAGGATTTAGGCGTCATATTCGACAGCAAACTCACATTCGTGCCTCATATGGAATATATTACAAAACGTGCCACCAAAATGTTAGGATTTCTTTACAGAAATATTAAATTTTTCCGCAGCAATAAAATCAAAATAACGCTCTACAACAATTTAGTACGAAGTATCTTAGAATACTGTTCTGTAGTTTGGAGACCACATTATGCAACGCATTCTTTACGCTTAGAACGAATACAAAAAAGATTCATGTGGCATTTAGTATACTCAAATCGAATTTCAAAAAAGAAACTTTCTTCGTATAAAAAACAGCTATCTTTTTTCAAAATTACGTCCTTGGCTAATCGCAGACAAATATCCGACTTACTCTTCGTAAGCAAATTATTGAATAATAAAATTAACTGCCCTCAATTGTTGAATAAGATAAAATTTCGCGTACCTCATAGATACCCCCCGTAAGAGAGTAATTACTATTAGATCACCTCTTCGTAAAACAGTATTTGGCGCTAATTCCCCGATCTCTAGGTTAAGTAAATTGGTGAATGAACTTCCCCACGCTTTTGATATTAATTCCGACTCACCTAACAAGCTCAGAAAAGAACTACTCAAACATTATGCAAATGTAATAGATTAAGTTTTTGTATTTTTTTAACGTTTTGGTTTTCTGTAACTATGTAATATTCTTGATGTTTATTCCAGTGCATGTTGTAATCACCTATAATAGTTTGTAGCATTTAAAGTAATATCCTATCTATGTATGTATGTAAATTATAATTTAACAATGTATACAAATGTTGGTGATGCTTTAATAAATAAAAAAAAAACTACTGAAGATTCGGACGTAAAATAAATAAATAATGAAAAGTACGATAAAATAAACTTTTGCATATTACAAGAGCCATAGTAGTTTTGGGGGTTTAGGATCTACTTCCAGCACTTATTACTGTATTATTTTATAGCACTCGAACGAATAAAGTTAAGTACCCACCGTCATCAAAGTAATTGACAACTGCAATTCAAAATGCTGATGAAAGAGTGCCATTTAGCTGATCAAAACCAAAACATATGTAAGAATATCCAATTCTCCTATAGTCCCGGTAGTGTCGTAAGAGGCGATAAAGAGGAAAGAAACAGCATCTTCCTGATAACAACTCAATATAATATAAATACTGCAGTGTCAACTCACTTGCCATGCGAGGTAATTACTTTAAATATTTGTAAACCTATTGCCCTCATATCTACAGTGGAGACCTTTGTTCAGCAGAGGACTTCTGATAGGGTGTTTCGGTAATAGTATGATAGTTCACCAATATGAATTAAAGTGGAGGTGCCCATGTTGAGTGTAAGGCGTGGCTTCACAGCGACACGCCCCTTATTGTTCATAATGGCGCGCAAGCACATGATGCAGACGTAGATGTCGTCGGTGGAGGCGCCCATGTTGAGTGTAAGACGTGGCTACACACCGATTTTTGTGGGTGTTGTGGGGGTGGTGTGTGTGGTTTCTGTTCACGCACCTTGTTGTTCATGATGGCGCGCATGCACATGATGCAGACGTGGATGTCGTCGGTGGAGGCGCCCATGTTAAGGCGGGCGGCGTGGCGCGAGCGGCGGCGAGCGGCGGCAGGGCTGGCGCTCGCCTCGGGCTCGCCGTCCGCAGAGCGCGCCCGCCGTCTCCAGGTCGCTCCTAGAGTGCTTCCGTTCTCCATCGGCACGCTACAGTCCGATGTCGTTGTGTTCGCTGCACATAGAAATAATAAAATCATTTTTATTCAATATACAACGTGTTCCGAAATTTAACGTCAAGTGGGCATGAGGTGAGAAAGAGGGTCATACCAGCACTGGGAAAAATAAATAAATGCATATCTGTTAGTTCAATTATAATTATAACTGACAAATTTATGAAAATGATGAAAATCGACACCTTAAATTTTATTGTTAGGTATTGTGACCAAAAATTTTTCAATTTTACTTTGATTTTTTCACTTACGTGGTCTTAAATAAACGTGCTATTAAACAAAATATGGTTAGTTAAAGTTTCTTTTAGTTGTAGTTGAAAAAATAAATAATATCACCTAACTTTGACTCTTCATTTTAAAAAAAACATACTGTACTACCCTAAATTAGTTACTTCAAAAGATGGCCCATTTATCCTAGATTTCAAAATCTTTTTTCATCCATAAAAAGTAAAATTAATTTGATTTTCCGTAATAAGACCTAAAATCAAAATAATTCCACAACTACAACACATTTCATCCATAAAAATATTGAAATGAACAAGTGCAAATGTAACATAATGTTTTTGAACGAAACAAATAATGACGCCATTTCATGTGAGTTAGAGCGAGACAGGTAGAGATGCTATATGATGTGATTGGCTAAAACAGATGGTGACGCTAAATAATATAATTTGTTGCCACAATACCTAACTGAACTAACTGATATGATTTTTTTTTGGGGCTAGTATGACCCTCTCTCGCCCCGTGCCCGTTTGACGTTGAGTTTCGGGACATATTGTAGATTACAAGAATACTTATTGAAAGTCATTTAAGATGGCTCAGAAAAAACCTCTGTCCTGGAAAGAACCAGCAAGAAACTCAGCAAGACTTTTAATAAACATAATTTACAATATAATATTTTATACAATTAGTATGAAATAATTAACAATTCATTTTAGTGACTTAATAACGGCTCCGTGGCGAGGTGGCTTATCAATGAGTTACGATGCCGAGGGTCGCAGCTTCGAATTCCGCACGGAACAAGTATTTGTATGATCAACAAGTAATTGTACTCGACAAGTTATGTATGTAAACTGCACATACAGAAGAAAATCCTATTTTAGGTAAAATACCACCTTAAGTTACTAGCAAAGATTAAAGTTATCAATAGCTTATACTGTGGAGTGGTATCTTAGTGATATTAAGCAGTTATTGTACAATCTGTACCTTGATTAATGCCGTCGCTGGACTGGCTGCGAGCCAGCGCAATGCGCTGCTCGTGTCGCATCATGCTGAGCCTGAAGCTCAGGTAGTCTATTAGAACGTCTAGACCCTGGTTCTGTTCGTTCAGAAACTCCCGCACCCATCTGAGAAGTGTTATGTATTATTGTAGGTAACGTACATGTAGGTAGTGAGCTTCGCGTTTTAATAATTAAACATAGGATGAAGATTCAAAATTACATGATGATTACGTAAAATAGTAAGGATTTATTATGTAAATATAAACAAACAATGGGAGGGATGATCATATTTTCTATGATTATAAAGGACCCGTCTTGAGTTATTTAATATTTTCTAGTGGAAAATGGCTCTATTTCTAATTTCGCCCCCACTTCCCCGCGCGTCGTATGCTATGTACCGACATGTTTGTAATCACTAATACTGTAAGTAGATAAGTCGTTAGATACTTATTTCATTAGGTTTATCATATTTATGCCAGTTTATTTACGCCAACCCAATCGCTTTTTATTTTTATTACGTTTATTTTAATTTTACGTCGTCCTGTTGCGTAATGTGTATTCTGATTGTAAGCGACACAGCCTTCCCGTTCGAAAGCCGTAGCGAGACTGATCGGGCGGCAGGGAACAAGCTTAAAGACGCGAATAGGTAAATTGGGGCACGACAGTGCCCCCGCAAAATCGACCAAAAAAGCGGCACGGCCGTACCATACTTTTCTCGAAGCAGTTCAGGCCATTTTCGACCCCCTATAACTTCGTAATGGATAAAACTAGAAGCCTGAATTTTCAGTAAACGAGTAGGCATTTTATAAACATGGTATATTTCAAATTGCATTCAATTTGAACCAGTAGTTTAAAAATTATAACTAGTCGAAGTTTCTTAATTTTGTCACTCACTGACTGACCGATCATAAAAACTCTAAGGCACTTCTAGCAGACATAGAAGCTTTAAATTTAGAATACAATTAGTCTTTAGTGTATAAATCAAGGAAAAACTAAAATATTTTTCAATTCGGTCCAGTTTTCTAGATACACTAATTGCATAAATAACTTCGTAATCCCATATAAATATATAGAATTACAAAGTTACATTTGCAGTAAATGAATCAGTGTACTTGTATATTATGTATAATAGGTGTAGATAGGTACGTTGTTGGTATTCAAAAAGTAGAAGATACCGGAAAGGAAAAAAGTAGGACTATCTACAAAAAATAATGACATGCCATCAAAAACATAACTTGTAAAAAAAACCAAGTCTGGCAACAAGTCTCACAACTTAGTTCTTCTACCGTAAAAAGTTTTGAGATCGCACCAAGCAATCTTACTTGTGAAATACATTGTGTTTCCATGCGATGGCTAAGTCCATCTAATTATTTAAAACATAAAAGATTTCTAATATTTATATAGTCACCATAAGATGTTGTTAGGTTAGCTAATTACGTAATAGCTTAAAACAGAAGGACCCTTAAGTAGAGACTGAATAAATTAACCGACTTGGTATTACATGGATCTAAAAACTTTTTACGGTAGAAGAACTAAGTTGTGAGACTTGTTTTTTTTTTAGAAGTTACGTTTTGATGGCATTTATTTTTACATTGAAAATAAATAAAAACATAAGCGCTGCTTTATAGTTAGTTCAGTTAGTATGCAAAGTTTCATGATCTAATTTAAAGTATTTTATGAATACCAGCGGCTTATTGTTCAGTTTGTAGGTAACTGTATTTTTTTTTTCTATCTAAAAAATCTTACATAATCGTGTTTACGTCTAACATAGTACTTACCATTAATCCTCAACTTTACCATATATTTATTTCAAAATTAATGCTACAATATTTTCGGCATAACGGAGAATCTTGTTAAGTCATTTGAGGTAGTATAGGCCCTTAAGTAAAAGCCTGCAAGTACTTACTCTATGTGATTGGTCCGTAAAGATATTTCCAAGTCCCTGAGAACCTGAGTGGATGTGGAGTCGCCGACCATTTTTCTTTTCTGTAATAAATAACAACATCTTCATTAATAGGTCGCAAATTGTATATCAACAATATAGAAGTCTAATAGAGAGCTCCTTTTATTATACTAAACAAGTGGTAGCTCTTGTCCTCTTATTATACAGAATCCATAGTCATAGTCCTCATATTATACTCATGGGGAGATATTTGCTATTGTTGGCACGCTTGGCGGGCGGGTTGGCAACCGAAGTTTATTTTCTAGTTCGTATTAGGAAGTTGCTGCTGGCCACCTCCTGGTGTGTTCCCTCTGTCGCCTCTAACGACATCGAAGCAATGGGACGATATGGCCACTGACACCTCCGAGACACGGCGTCAATATACAGTATGCAATAACCACATTTTACAAAATAATAATTTAGATGTTGAAAGTATGAAGATATATTATATACAGACCACATATAAATTTAATCATTAGAAAGGATGAAAAAATGGCTATATTAGTCTACTTTGCTTATTTCACGGTATCATATCCTAAGGTGTATTATTTAATGTGAGAATCTGCAGTCGGTATGGAAACAATATATATTTTGCAGAACCAAGCAATATGGGTAATCCATAACTTGGGACCTCGCCACAGTTGTACGTTACGCGACCTTTTCAAGGGAACTCATATTTTAACACTTTTGTTTTATTTTAAAATTATAAACTTTGTGTAAGTACGGGAACATGTAAATCTTTAGGTATATATAAAATTCTAACGTGCGTGTGTTCGCAATTCTCCTCCTTCTAATGGGCTTGACTGATTTTGGGTGTAGGTTTACAAGGCACAGCATCCCCTTATCATCATGTTAGTTTGATTGTGATCTATTACTTGGTCGAGCCATGCTGCAGCTATTTTACGATTACAACACAAATGATTCGGTTCGATCAGAGGAGTGGTTCGCGTATGGTCAGTGTTGAGAACCGGAGACCCTATTTACTGGTAGCTAGGTGTTCCATTCCATCTTAGATCTCCGGGGTGATAACGCATTTGCATTTTAATATTTAATCGACGATAGATGTAGATGTCCATGAGTCATAGTATCCATTTACCATCACGTGAACTGTGTGTTCATTTGCCACCCTTATACTAGAAAATAAAAAAAATATATAAATATACTGTGTGCTTTTCTGTGACCTCTATTAACTTATAGATAATAATAAAAATAACATATTAATACAAATAAAATCTTCAAAAAATTTCAGCCGAAATTGCTTGGGCTCATGCCGTCATTATTATCCAAAATTAGTCTTTGATTGATAGTGGTTTTGATTACGCTTATTTTTTTTTAAAGAACACGTATACAAAAAATGTGAAAATTTCAAATACAACAAATTAAATAAAACTAAGTTTAAGGATTTTAATCATCACCATCATTACCGTTTTCGAGACAAGCAACAAATACAGTCATGTTTGACGAGAAGATGAGTTGTGATCCCTGGAACACTGAGTCGGCAGCAAGGCAAAGTTAGAACTTTGCATGTATAAAAAACCAAAATTAGGGGCTTTTTAGGTGCTACGTTGAAAAATGAAGTGCTGTAAAATTTTCACCATAACGAACTGTTGAATGCGTTGCTGGCAAAACGTCTCCCTAGCAACGCAGTGACGGTAATAGATATACGATAAATATTATTAGCAAGGAATTATATGCTAATTAAGTGCTGAAAGATTATTGAGGTCGAATGTAGATGACGGTAATATTCTGGGAATTATGGGCTCCAGGAATTTACCTTACTATAAGGTATGAACGGCATTTTTGTTCTTTATCAGTTATACACCATAGATAAGATAGGTCGAATATGTACTAAAACCGAATCGGAACGACCCGACTCCACGTATTCTTATTTGCTCTACCCCTAGAGTGGTTTTGTAAAGCCGTAGGTTCGGAGGGAGAGCAGCCCCTGCTCGCTGTAGCAATGTCGAAGGAGCTGCACTTCCCTCAGCGCCGAAGCTGTTGCAGAAGTAACCCTAACAATATGCCAATATTTATTACCCTGTGTAAAAAAGTGAGTTGTTTTTGAAACCACTTAATTATAACCATCTCGTCTACGCTAGACGTTCGGGCAGTGTCAAAGGTGAAAGACATCAGTAGTGTGAGTGTATAATTCTGGTGGAATCGGCGTTCACGCTTCGATTTGTCGTTTAACGCCAATTAATGGGTTTCGTTGTAACTGTGTTAGTATAATATAGATTTCACACGTATGGCGATGTGGACAAAAGTACTTGAAAGATTAAAATAGAATTAGACAACTGGTTTGTGATCACCAATGTGCCTACCAAGCGTATCAAATCCTTCTAAGATATTACTCCAGGTCCAACAGTGGACTGTCATGGGCTGAGAAGAAGAAAACATTTTATGGAAGTTAATAAAGCTAACGTAAACGAATACCATTGCAAGGTCCCTGAATGCTTTCTATGTGCAGATAACTTGTACAAAAGTAGAACAGATCGTGACATTATGTAATTCAACAAAAATGACAGCTTTGTGATCAGGCACAGACGCAGGAACTTTCGTTGACATTTGACATTAGCTGGGTCACGACTAAAGACTGGCGCGAGCAGCCTACATTTCCTTACCAATAGCACGCAGTTTGATAGCCAAGTATAAAGACCTGGCTATCGAGTAAGTCTAAGTCGATCTAACATTCCTTTCCTGTGCTCTTACGTTCTCACCACCTATCGCGTATCGTATGTAGTGTAAGTTATAAACTTACATCCATAAATTATCTAAAAAGTAAAATAATTGCCTATTTAATTCCCACCATTGGTTATCATCATCGCCAGCAGGGAAGAGCAATGTGAGTTGGCGAAATGTACATGACCTTAAACTTGTTCAATTGCCGGCTACACAAGACAATGATTTATCTGTGCCTGTTTGCGCAAGATTTCCGAACGTATGTATGACTAATCGTTGCAGATTATTTATTTTGCAGCAAGTACATTTTCTATTCAATAAATCGTTGTTGATTGCGTTTGAATAGGTTTATGGTTCCATGTGAATGATAGCGACGGCCGAATGAACTTCATACATTGATAGGAATGATTCCGTAGCTAAAAATATCAGCGTAGCCGACAACCTTTCAAGAGGACCAATTGCTTGTCTCATTAGTGTCCCACTTTATTTATAAACAGAAAGCCAGCAGGTTGTTGTATGACTCTTCATCCTTTCATAATTATGGCAGCCTTTTGGACAGAATATACACTTATTTTTTAATTATTTTTATAGTATAGGGTGACACAGTCCATCTGATGGTAAGTGGTTGCTGTAGGCATCTACATCTATCCTCGATTACGAATCAAAATGCAGATGCGTTGTCACCTGTGAGGACTAAGATGAAATCGAGGCATTTCAGTAAAAAGGATCTCCGGTTCTCTACATTTAACATACGAAACACAGCAGCATTAAACTACTAATGTATGCTGGTATTCTGTGAGAGCGTGGTCCTTTTCCGGTCGAAACGACCCATTCGTTCTAAACTATACTACTAATATAACTGCAGCCTAGCTCTACCACGTATACAACATATTTAATAAGTTTGTATTAAAATATGTCTTACTTTTTAAGAGCCAGTTCTTCATCACACACGTGATTTTTTTTGCATCTAATAAAGCTCAAATACGCAAGCACTGTGTCATCATATTCAGATAAAGTGACGTTTCTTGCACGATCTTTTTTTTTGTGGAGAACTGATTAACGCAGATATCAGTGGCGTGTGGAGACACTGTGGGCGTTCGATTTAACTGCACAGTTTGAAACCGCTACTACATATTTATCGTGTGTTAGTGTAGTATTAGACATATAAATTTCCGCACGCTGTTTTTCTTTACTTCCTAGCATGTAAATAATGAGCACATTAAATTGCAATTAACGATTTCAATTATTGATCTTGGGCTGCTTACTTATATAAATGAACTGCTGCAGCCTGACTGCTGAACACAGGTCTCCTCCGCAGACGGCCTTATAGGAGGGATGGTTGCCACAGTTCCAGCTCCAAGATTCAGGAGAAAACCCCAGCGTGGCGGTAACGTTTTTTTACCCGATCGCCCTAGCAGGAGGGTGATCATTTTCTCTCTTCTTGAGTGTATGTATCTTTATGTAAGTCAAGAGTGTATGTAAGTTGTATGTATGTCTACTTCTTTAGTACACTGACTGCCTGTCTGCCTACACGGCTCGATGGATTTTAACATATGACGTATCGTTAGACGAGTTTTACTTGTGGAAGTGACATAGGGTTTGTCCCGACCAAAATTTCGGCTTCAGTCACCTTCGGCCAAAAAACATCTTTGGCGAAACCTTCGGCTTCTGCTAAAATGGGTCGAAGTTTTGGCCAAAGCGGAGCGCCGAAATTTAACGAACTGTTGCAAATGAGAGAGAGCGCCATGGACGTGGCGACGCGGTAGGTTAGGTATAATTTTTTTATAGTTATAAATTCTTTTCAGTGAACAGAACTTTACAGAAGCATTTCAAAGATCTTTTAAAACCTACATACCACTCACTAGCTACAATAACAAGCAAATTGCTCGCTAAATGCACCAAACGGCAAATTAAGCACGACACGTACCTAAACATGAGTCAGGGGCTCTAGGGGTTATAATTGTGGCACAACGCGAGCGCGACCCGACCTCCGAGCGTGCGGCACAATTGTATCATGACCTCGCACATATTAGCATTGCGGCAGACGTGACCGAGTGGGCGATATCAGCGAAATAAAGATTTCAAGGACTTACAGTTCGTCTGATGGACATAGCACCTCGAATGTCCCATATCAAGACCCAAGAAGATTTAACAGTAAGAAATATTTAATACTCGTACGAGTCTGCTGTGTTGGTCCATTGCTTACTGACTTCACATCATGTCCTCGCAATATTTATTCTTCCATGCAGATTCCATCAAGATATTTTCCTTCATTGCCGAGCAAACATACCCATATTTTGTTTATTATGCATATTTTTTTAGTAGAGGGGGCAAACGAGCTGGCGGCTTACTTGATGGTAAGTGA